GGGGGGGGGGAAGGCCGCGGTCCACCGCACGCGCTCCGCGTGGCGCCGCTGCGGTGACGCGCGGGCGCTCCGCATTAACGACGTGTAAGCGCATTCACGGCACGCCGCTCCGGCCCCGCTCTCCGCCCTCCGCCCCCCGCGCCTTTTTTGCAACTCTGCCCCCAACACTCTGGTTCCCACACGGCCCACGGCGCTCTCGCGAGTTTCGTTGCGTACCTTGCCTCTCGTATTCTTACCTCCTCATACCGGATGAGGCATCAACTGATGAGACACTGCAGTGCCTCTGGCCGGGATATCCTGGGGTTCGTGTCCCGATGGCGCTGGAATTTTCGACAGTAGCTACGTCGAATTCAGCCTCTGTCTGGAGGAGAATTCCAGAAGCCGGCCGCTTTGATAGTTAGGGTTCCGTAGTTTGTATTTGGCGAATGCTCTAACAAACCGGCATTGGACCGCACGCGGTTTTTTCTTCCTCTTCCTACTCTCACACTCACCCTCACCCAATTACTCCCTTTACAACTCTACCACACATGTCGGGAGGTCCTATGCCTCTGGGGCGCTGGGATACCTCGCTATCGAAGCTGGGTGCTGGGGAGATACCAGATTGGGAAAACACACCAAGCCGACGTGCAGGTTGGTTTCGGAACTCGCCTGTCAGCGGACGAAGATCACTACCACTCTCCCCGCGCTCCACTTACGGAACTAATGATAATAATTGACGCCTGGAAGCCTTAATCAATCAATTTTACCCCTACTCATCTTGTCTTTGCCTCTTAATATTCTGTTTCTATCTCCTTGTCCTATCAATCTCATCTTAACTTCCCCTTCTTCCCTTCACTTATAAGCTGCTTGCTTCACCTGTCTTACATACCTACACTTGCATTCTCGCTCTTAGTTTCTCCTTCTTACCTCATTTTGCCCCATCCCTTGACTATTCGGTCAGTGTCTTCCCGTGCCTGGCATTTCACGCCCCTTACATCTTCACTCCTTTCTTTACCTCTGTACTTCATTTCTCCTAACTTCTCGTTTTTATCCCTTCCGTTTTCTCACCGTAGTTTACCTGCCGCCTTTTACCTTTTTATCTCTTAACGCTCCGCCCTCTACCTCTCTGCCCAGTTTCTCCCTTTCCAATAAACATTTTGACGACTCCCTCATCTCCCCGTGATCTGCTTGCATTTTCTCCCGTCTGCCCTCTACGTCATCGCCACGTGTGTAATTCAAAGCCTTATAACATTTCACTGCCATTTTTTTAAAAAAACAACGTTGCAAACTCAGTTTCATATTACGTATGTCTATTTCATTTCCTTAAACTACATTTTAGTGTGAGTGAACTTTGCAGCGCATACGCACTTTGCAGCGCGTACCCACTTTGCAGCGCGCACCCACTTTGCAGCGCGCACGGACTTTGCAGCGCGTACCCACTTTGCAGCGCG